TGTGTGTGTGTGTGTGTGTGTGTGTGTGTGTGTGTGTGTGTGTGTGCGCACGTAGGGATCTGGGCATTACTTTCTCAGTGAGTTTGTGGTGGATGCAGTCTAGAAAACAAATGGCAAAAGGCCTCTAATCAGGAGATCATGAGAGAGAGAGAGCAATAGAGAGCTCATTGTGTAGACCAAGCCAGGCTAGTCCATCAGTGAGCTCTGGAATCAGTGAGAGACATTGTCTCAAAACATAATGTGGAGAGTGATAGAAAATACTCGGTGGTGTCAATGGAACAACACAGTAGCCTACAGAGTGGGAAAAGATCTTCACCAACCCCACATCTAACAGAGGGCTGAACTCCAAAATATATGTTTTAGAACTCAAGAAATTAGACATCAAAATACCAAACAATCCAATTAAAAGATGGGGTACAGATCTAAGTAAAGAATTCTCAACAGAAGAATCTCCAATGACTGAGAAACACTTAAGGAGATATTCAACATCCTTAGCCATCAGATGACTCTGAGATACCATCTTACACCTGTCAGAATGACTAAAATCAAAAACACTGAAGACAGCGTATGTTGGAAAGGATGTGGAGCAAGGGGAATACTCCTACACTGTTGGTGGGAGTGCAAATTGTACAGCCATTTTGGAAATCAGTATGGTGGTTTCTCAGAAAATTGGGACTCAATCTACCTCAAGACCCAATGATCCCACTCTTGGGCATATACTTAAAGGATGCTTGATCATACCAAAAGGACACTTGATCAACTATGTCCATAGTAGTGTTATTTGAAACAGCCAGAAACTGGAAACAACCTAGTTGTCTCTCAGCTGAGGAATGGATAAAGAAAATGTGGTACATGCACACAATGGACTGTTACTCAGCTATTTAAAACAATGACATCAGAAAATTTGAAGGCAAATGAATGGAACTAGAAAAGATCATCCTGAGTGAGGTAACCCAAAACCAGAAAGACAAACATGGTACTCACTCATAAGTAGATTTTAGCTATAATGTAAAGGATAACCATGCTATAATCCCCAGACCCAGAAAGGCTAGGTAACAAGGAGGGCCCAAGGGAGGACACATGGATCTCCCTGGAAGGGGAAATAGAGAAGATCTCCTGGGGTGGGTGGGGATGGGAACTTGAGGGATTAGGATGGGAAGTGGATGGAGGGGGAGAATCCTGAAAAGAATGACTGGGGTGGGGGGACATTTCAGGGTCAGATAGAAACCTGATGCAAGGG